TTCTCCAATCAGAGTTTTTACCGAAGGCTGGGTTTACTAAAATTTGGGAAGGTCATGTAAACTGCTCAAGTCAGAGTGAATCAACACAGCTATCAAGATCATTGTCAGTTGCCTGACTTTGGAAAACCACCTGCACCCTGTGAAACTTCAGGAACGAGTTAATGCTTCTTATTGTCATTTTTGCCTTGCTCGTGTAAATAAAGATGTCAGGAGCAGCGACTTGAGAGCTGAACCTATTGCCACCTGCTCCTCGCTAAAGAGTAGCTTCTGTGTTTACTGAGAATCGTTGTAGTTAGGTGAACAGATACTGAACGCTGTGACTGCTCTCAAACAACTACAGCAACATTTGTTTATGCTTTCCTGATAAGTGGCCTCTTGTGGTCATGCGAATAATGACTCTTCTCTCAGTTGCTGTTAGAGGAGATCAGAGTGGATGTTTGGAAATCAAGTAGGTTTAGTTGCCTAAATTTAACCAAGCCATAGAGCTGGTACATCAGACAATATTCATTTGGGTCATTTTTGAAGGCGATGACAAATTGATGCCACACTTCATACACTAACTGCTTAAGGCAAGATATTCGTCCCTACTAAAGAGAATGCAGCTTAAAAGAAGCCAGCGGCGGACTGAATAATGGCTATCAGGCTGCAAATCACTGGAGACACTTGACTGAATCTAGTGTTTGTGTGCATCAGCCCTCTACTGGTTCAAGCTGTTGGAAGGCTGGAGTCCTACTCTCTCTTGTTTGGATCGACACAGGAAAACACAGCGGAGGAAAATGAGGCCTCCCGTTTCTTAATTATTTAAATCAAACAATTAACGACGGCTGTCCTGGGAAAAGCTCTTTTATCCGCTCATCCACAACAACAACAACAAGAGCCACTATCCTGGGTGGAGTCTGGAGGAGGACCGATCACATGGAAAACAACAACCAATAGAGGACAGCCGTTTTTTATTTCGTTTTTAATTATTAAACCAACTATTTTAGACTGCACAGGTGCTGTGCAGCGTGCAGGCTGAGGCCAGTCTCTTAAAAAAGCACCACTGATTTTTTGTAAATCACAGAATCCCATTGTTGTAGTGCATTTTATTGTCCAGTGCAACTTACAGCAATATAAAGGATGCGTTAAATAAACTTGAATACACCCATATCATACCCATCTTGAATGTAAAACCACCATCACTTGACACTTTGCTTTATCCCTCATTGTGTTTTACAAGCATTTTGAGTTAGTTAGTGTTATTGTCGTGAAAGCCAACAAAATTAAATTAAATAAAGTCACTCCAAATGCTAACTAACTTCTGCCTCCATATGTTTAGAAATATTGAAGTAATATTATTGCTTGTCTTTATTTTATGTTCTGTGTATAATTTGCATCCCATCAATTTGTCTCAGGAAAGCTTGATACACTGTTCACATTGATTACACGGTCAATTATATATAATTTATAGGCTTCAACTGGAGAGCCACTCTGCGATTAAACTTTGATGAAGCCATGTACTACATTCTTTGTTATAGACCAGCATGCCAGCCACTGTCTGGTAGGCAAAAAATATCTGTAAATATTGACAAATGCACAATACAGAAGTCGATTTTTCTCCTCTTATGAACTTAAAATATTAGACAGATACAACAGTAAGCTGGTGAAACATATTAGACATTCAGCAAGATTCAAATTGTAGGATTAAATATCTCAAACTTGATGTTTTAAAATTGCCTGAATCTTTTAACACTTTGACAATACAAATTAAAGTTCAGGTGTTTTTTTAGATAGGATGCAGAGAACATATTATTATTTATTTATATTTTATATATTTATTAGTTTGCTGTCATATTAAGTCATCTTTGTTCGTTTGATGGACCGTGAATGACTCTATGGTCCTTGAGTATTATTTTATTTTATGTTTTAATTTATTTCCTTCATAAAGGAATGAGAGTCCCACCTGAGAAAGGTTTTCCTGTCAGAATACATGACCTATAAGTAGGCCTGTGAAGTCTAATGCACATACAGACTGTATTCTCCTGTGTTCTCCTTATAAAGCATTTTGAAGGTGCCAATATTTTAATATTTTAATAATATTAAATGCGAATGTAAATGTTCACTGTTTCTTTGCAGAATTATTTTCCAAAGCACTGGAAAGGCCCTTACAACTTCAGGAGGAAACCTAAAACTATTCATTAAAATCATTATTATGTCATTCTTGCATTACAGCTCTTTAGACTGGAGGAAAAACACCAATGCCACTTATGGCAAAAAGGGAAAAACTGTAACATTAAGCTGTTCCTCATTTTGCTGGTCACCCATTGGCTCCTCCATCAGCCCCACGTTGGGACGTATTGCTTTAAAAGGCCTGTATTGGGTTGCTCCGAGGGGATCAAGGCCCAAGCTGCTGTTGTACGACAGAGAAAAGCAGCTTCTTAACAAACACATGCAAAAATCAATAGTATCATAACAGCTGATATTTATTATTCATTAATAACAAGTTTATAGGCCGAAACCACCTGCTGAGCTGAGGAGAAAAGAAAGAGAATAATACTAATACAAATGCAAAGACAATATGAAGTGTCATAGTATGGAGTCAGGTCACCACAAGCCTCCAAAACAGCTTCTCTGCTCCTTGCCAAGTCTGTGGACCTCTATTGGAGGAATGAACTCCTTTCCTCCACAACATAGTCACTCATTTATATATACAACCTTTATTCAATCAGGTCATCTCATTGTGAGCAAGATATTTTTTTGCAAGAGAGACCTGAGCACAGTAGATAGAAAGAAAAAACAAACACTGTCAGACATAACAAAATGGCATAAAGCCCCAGAGACAGTCACAGACATCACTAAATAGATTTGAAGATGAAACTTTGTATTATATCATTTGATGTGATGGTGACGGCGGTTGTCTCTGGTCACTGTCTCTGGATTTATTCACATCATTTTCACACACAAACCATTCAGTGAGCCCTGGTGCACGGAAGCATCTGCATTTGACATGTTTCTTCACTCTTTTATTCATTTTTCCCCCTTTAATTTGTCTTTTATTATCTATTATCTGTATGTATGTCAGTGTATATATATATATATTGTATTGTTTAACCTCACTGACTAAATTAAAGTTCTTGTTTAAATTGAAACCTTCACTTTCAGATTCAGCTCATGAATCTAACTATTTCCAGATGAGTATGCTGCCATAATGTGATTGCATTAACCATTTTCCCTTTTCATAATCATCCTTGTTGATGTCAGGTTGTCCCTGTCTGTAGATTTCACAACTGAAACCCATGCACATGTTCATATGCTTTTATTTTGCAGTTAAATCTTGTAGGTTTGGGTGTAATATATCCACTTTACTTTCATTCCTATAACTATTTCTGCTCTAATCATGTTCTTTTTTTTTTTTACTTAATTTGTCATATAAGGCATCTTGGTCTCGTGTATCATGAAAATCAGCCTGCACATAAAATGCATCATAATTATTATCATTAAAGAAGGTTACGATATGGTAACCCTAGTTCTATTAGCACAGGCAGAGAACTAGTCTCATGAGCAGAATAATAAAATTATGTACATTTTTAGGTTTCATGAAGTGGACTGCACATATCCATTCAAGAAGCGTGCTTTACTCCCACAATACACTGCTTTGAAATGTAAAATGAGGTTATTTGTTGTTGCGCTCTTGATCTCCTGATTGCAGCCTCTAATTGCGAGAGCGCTGAGCTTTGGATCTGTAATCATCTGACAGAAACGTCACTATAGGCTGAATGTTAGGCTGATTAATGAATGAATGAAATTGACACTTTTAATTTGAAGCTGAGGAAAGTCACGTTGTCATTATCACAAAGTGACTGCTCAGGTGAAAAGAACATCTAAATATCAAACTGGATTCATGTGTGTGTGTCACCGTGCAGAGAGAGGGCAGTAAACATTAGAAGTCTTATAGAAACAGGACCATAACACTGTTTTCTGCATATTTCTTCGGGGGGTTTAACAATCTGGGGAAGGTTTACATTCTCAAATATAGGCATGCTGGTGTTTTATAAGCTGCGTCTAGTTTTAGACTATATGTTTAAACTTGATTTCGGGTGTCAAAATTAAAGATACAGATGTGGACATTTCCCTATTCAACAGTTAACTGAATATCAGGGAAGAGAATAAGATTTGGTATTTTAATGTTTGGTGAAATGAGGAGAACATCTTTCTTTTGTGTAGTCTTAAACTTTTTACACTATTTGAAGCCTGTTTCAGATAAGTCGGCCAACCGGGTGTCCTGTCCACATTGCTCATAGTAGTTTACTGATATCTTGGTGGAAAAGGAAACTTTAAAAAAAAAAAAAAGTTTATTATCGAGTCAGAGTTTCCTCTTTCCTTTTCAAGTTTTCTAACAGCGGCTCTTTATTGGCTCCGCCCTCTGAGGTTTCAGGGTATTTTTTGTCCTCAGAGAAACGTTTGTTAAAACTAAAAGCATCAGATGCACGGCCTGCGTGCGTATTCCTCGATGTGATAGAGCCGTGTAGTCTTCATACACAGCAAAGTTGATCAATATTAGAGTCACTCAAGTATCAAATCCTATTCATCACCGCTGGGAAGCAGCTTTCAGACGGACCTCCTTCACCTCCAGGCTTCTCCTGTTTCAGAGCAGCAGCTGCCCTCCTCTCAGTCTGCACAAACACAAAGTACAAGAGACACAGACAGGGTGCTACTCAAAGCTCATATTGCAGCGGTCCATTAAATCTATCTTTAAAAAAAAAGACTATTAACACCTCCATCAGCAAACACAGATCATGTCTGCGGTGTGATGGCGAGAAAAAAGCGCACCAGAGATAGGCCTAATTAATTTTTAAAACAGTGTTATAGGACCACCTTTTCTCATGCAGTGCAATGTGAGGTCCAAACCGTAAAATATTTTCCCATATGAGACCCAAAAACCTGCCTTTTTGTTTATTTCTATTTTTTTTTTTTATTTGCGAAGAAAGGCTGTCAGAGGATGAATTAAAACGTGCACGATTTATTTCAGCTTCTGTCGCTTACACATACACATTTAAAGCACACTGTCACAAATGAAATATGTATTTTTTTCTCCAAAATAAATTAAGTTCAAATAAATAAGTGCAATATAAAGAAAAAAAATAACGTTTTACGTGATGGAAAAAGAATGTATAAATAAGGCCGACTATTTCCCTTCATCAGAATATCTACAAAGTGCGCTCCAGAAAGGTGTCAGTCATAATAATAATAATAATAATAATAATAATAATAATAATAATAATAATAATAATAATAATACAATGCAAAATTGTTCATTTTCATGAAGACACAAAGGGGGAGATCAACAACTCAAAGTCAATAATAATAATAATAGCCCAATAATAATAATAATAATTTGATTGTCAAAGCATCATTGCAGTGAACTTGAACATACAACAGGTTTACACATCAGTGAGTCATCTAGGCCTAATTCACCACTGAACCGGTGGAAGAGGAACACAAAGGAAAAAAAAAACACATTGAAAACAAACCAAAAATGATCCTACTCGTCTTTTTTAGCGTGTGTGTGCGTGTGTGTGTGTGTGTGTGTGTTTTTAAATCACCATGAACGTGCCAACACTTGCGTAATGAGGTAGCCACACAGCTATACCGTGTGAATGTGTTTATTCGTGCGTGTGCTTGTGTGAGTGTGTGTTTCTTCTTATTGCAATGCATTCACTTGGGGGGGTTATTTTCATATTTTTGGAGCCATAAATGCACAGAAAACACCCCTTTCCCCCTCACGAGTAAACCATGCAAAGGATTTCACAAATTGTTACTGTGCTTCATAATTTGGCCACAGATCGACACGTTTGCTCTCTTCGTACGATCTGTCCCCAAAAAACTATCCAATTCTTTACAGAAACAAACACCTGGAAGAAAAGACAGCGAAAATCCAATACATTTCAATCAGCTTTTCCACACACGGAGGTGCAACATATTCACAAATATGTACATTGATAAATATAAAAAAGCTATTCCGACTAAGGAGGATAATATCGATTATTCCTCGATTCCCGTCATTATTATGCTTATTTTTTTGTACAATAATTGCCATAAGAATTAATGGGACGGAGCAGTGTTCCCCCTCTTTTTCTGCAACGATGGTGATCACTTCCTCCCATATCTCAGAGAGTAACGGCTTATTCTGTGGAGAAGCATAAAGATTTAAGAGTCTCAAGTTTTTTGGACAGGGTCTCAGTCTTTCTCCCAGTCCAAGTCCCAGTGCGCCGTCTCCACTGTCAGAATAAAAAAAAAGGTACACCGTTGAATCCAGTTGTTTTTGAAGCTGCATGAGGCTGAACCTTCCAAAAACAATTTAAAAAACAGCTCCTGGTCATACTGAGTGGAGAATAATCATCAGGTGTCCCGCATCCAAACCTCTCAGCGCCTCTAAAATATAGCTGAAAGACTCCAGAGAGGTGCTGCAGGTTTCTTTGCAGATGCTTCAGAAGCAAGACGTTGCTGCCTGCTTTGAATACTTTCTGTGAAATTGTTTCCACAATTGGGATTCAGGCACTGGTGCAAAAACCACGTCTGTGAATGCTTCTCCTTTACAAGGTGGACAACACTGAAGCCTAATGAATCTTAACAAGACATTTAGTCCACTGTTTGGTAAGAAAACGTGTTTTTTCCTTCAATAAATAACAAATTCAGCCAATGGAGCGTTGAAGCAGCTTACATTTTCAGTGCTCATTTCAGAAAAAGCCAAAATCACTTAATTAAAAACTTTTATCTTAAGACTCGATAAGATAGCCTATTAAAATACTTGTCGGGCCCTGGATGTGTGTCAAACAGGTCCGGCCCCGGAACAAAAAGGCACAACGGTGTACCTTGTTTTTTTCTGACAGTGTGCAGCAGCAGCTTGTCTCTGATTAGTCTTTTTGGAAACGCGGATCTTAGTGCGTCGCAGAAAACTTCATTCGTTTCTGCTTTTGCCTCTGATTGCAAAACCAAACCCGGACCACGTTTTTTTTCAGGTCCAGTTTCTCGGCGATTGCGGCGATCTTCTCCGACGAGGGCCTCGGCTGCACGGCGAAATAAGCCTCCAGGGAGCGCTTCTCCGGGGCGGCGATAGACGTTCGTTTCCTCTTTTTGTCGCCCCCGTTGAAGATCTCCGGCTTGGCCATCTTCTCCCTCTGCGCCCGCTCCGCCTCCTCCAACCAAGCTTCCAGGATGGGCTTCAGGGCCACCATGTTGTTGTGAGACAGCGTCAGGGACTCGAACCTGCAGATGGTACTTTGGCTCAGACATCCGACCCCCGGAATCTTAAGGTTGGCCAGGGCCGAGCCCACGTCCGCCTGGGTCACCCCGAGTTTGATCCGCCTTTGCTTAAACCTCTCGGCGAACGACTCCAGCTCCCGGGGATCAGGCTCAGCGTCTACGCCGCCGGTCCCCAGGGAGCCGTGGGACCCCAGCCCGTGTGAGTGCATGTTCATAGACTGCTGATGGTGGTGGTGCTGCATGTGGTTGATGGCCGACATGTGGGCGGTGTGCGAGGCCGTGGAGCAGACGTCTGAGCCAGGCATGCCTCCCAGGGAGATGCCCGGTGTGAGGTGGTCCAGCAGGTCTCCCTCCAGACCTTGTGCCGTCTGGTGGTGCCCCGGGTGATGGTGGTGGTGGTGGGAGGTGAGCACGGATGGGTGGTGCAGGTGCGCGGAGGAGGAGGTTGGGGTGCAGGCCATGCTGGTCATGGTGGTCATGGTGTGGTAGGTCGCGTCCGGTTTGAACGGATGGCTCTTCTGGGCCACAATGTCCACAGCGGCCAGAGCTTCGGCTCTCTGCAGCAAAGTCTCATCAAAGCCGGCGAAGATGTTGCCCTGAAGCTGCGAGAAGAGCAGACCGGTAAGAGCAGGAAATCTGACAAAAGTGAACACATTAACTCCATGTATCATAACCAGTTTAAACAATTAAATGTTTCCACTGCGCCTCCATCATAAACACGCTTTCTATCACATGGATCATATTTCTTTCTTTTAAATTCAAAATGAAGCTGTGTAAACAGAAAGTTTAAAAAGGTAAAAAAAATAATAATAAAGTATGGGTTAAAGAGAAATCCTGACTGCAGACTATTCAACAGCCAGGTGAAGTTGAATTGTTTACAGTTTAAATAGCCACAGATATTTAGGCTACACATTTTGTTTAATTTAAAATTTTCTACCTGAGAAATTTCAACTATGCACAAGGTCTCCAACACGTAGAAGGGTTTCAGTGTTTCAATGCACAGAAAGAAATTTAAATGCATGCATCTTTCAGTCAACTTTGTTTCTAACTCGTCAAACAATGTCATCTAATGCAACTTGGACATCGCTGAATCTGCCCAACGCCTAGAGTGCAGTGCCAGCGTGGATGGATATTCATTTAAAATTAATATTTACGATCTCCTGAATAATTTCTATGGACAATGAAAAAAGAGAAGAATGCGAGTTTGAATATGAATGGGACAATATGAGATAACACGCGCTTAGAGAATCCACGCCGCCTCTTTTCTGCTTCCTCCTTCATCTTTTATCTTCTTTCACTTTTAACAGCATCACTCACACTTGCCTGAATGCAGGATCTGGCTTCTTAGGGACGGATTTCAGCGCGCCGACTGTCTGCTCTAAATAACCGGACTGGCCTCGTTCTGCTGCTGGTGTTATCTGATCCACCCTGTCATGTCCATATCTCCATTATCTCAAACATTTTGTAAAATTCGATATTTATTTGTATTTTTTGTCATTTCTTTACAGTTTTACTTGTTCAACTTTCCCCACTGTGCACAAGCAGGACGCTTTTCTTGCTCTCTTGTTTTCTGGTGGCTAATTTGGGGAAATTAACATTTAAGTAGCCCAACTAAAATAACATTTTCCTACTTTAAAAAACAGTTTTGGTTAGGTAGGCTATATTATCGAATGAGGAAACCAAATTCAAATTGAAACGCACAGGGCCAATGATTCATGTGTGCGTATGAGCGCTATAGATTATATTAAACTACATATCTAAACATTTACCAGCTTTAGTCTTTAAAAGTAATCAGACTGGCCAGACAAAAAAAGTACTGCCACTATTATGGAAGTTGATGGTTTTGTTTGCAAATGTAGGAGCTGCAAGAAGTCAGTGGTGAAACGACTTTTGGACTCACCGATGGAGTGGGCAGGCAGGCCCTGCGGATGGCCTCTGAGCTGGAGTGCAGAGGCGTGTATTTGGGTTCGTGCAGTATGGGGTGCATACTGAAAGGCTGTTTGCTATTCATCGACATCATGATTGCAGAAGTGAGGGAAGGTCGTTGTTCGTCGTCCTCGTTCGGGTCCGTCTTGGTGATTTTCTAAAAAGAAACGCCTCTGGGAGAAAAACCTGCCACGCGCAAACACTTTGAATGGAAAGTAGTTGGTGATTGGGTGGCAGTAGCAGTCGAGTTCGCTTTAAAAACAGAAACAGAATCGGAGAAGGTAACTCCTGGGCTCCTGCGGCTCTCCTGTCTCCTTTCCTCCTGTAAATGAGTTCTATTATAAAGATGCTCCTCGCCTCCAGCTCCTATATTGGACCACCAACGCGCAGGCTCCTCCTCATTGTTGGATCGTCACTCCCTCCCTCTGGACGCCTCCACCAATCACGCGGAGGTCCCCGGTTGTAGCCACGCCCCCAAGCGTGCCTGGCTCGCTGGAAAGAAGAGACGAGGAAGGATGCTGTGTGGTTGCACTGTTAAAAAAAAATATTCGTTGAAATAACTGATAACCAACACCTGCAAGAAGAATTTGGCTCCAACAGTTAAAAAAAAACAAAAACAGGCCAGCATGTGTAGAAAAAACAGGACCACCAAGAAATATTAGAAAGCTAAGACATAAACATCTGCATCCAAGAGATCCTAAAACAAATGTGTTAGTCTGAGTTTGTGTCCCATACTGATCGCAATACTACTTAATGACAATTTCCCAAAATTTAAAGTTTAAACAACAAATAAGTTGAGCCCTGTGGCTTGAAAGTGGCCAAATGTCAACAAGAGGCCTCACAGGGAAATGGTGACTTTGGCCTTCAAGCACTCAAAGAAGAGTAAATATTTAATGGCATAATTAATTGCTAAATTTGTGGCTTTCATTTTTTTCCTGGAGCCTCTGGCTGGGTCAAATGCTGAAATATCAAAACATTTTTTTAGAGTGTTGCAGAGATCCTTCAAAATGCAACAGCAGACGGATTATCATAACTGTATGTATCTTAGTGTTATTCTTGAAAACGCATTTTCGGGAATTTTTGCTGAAAGGAATCTTCTGTTTTTGACAGAAAAGCAATGCATCAGATGGGTGATACAACTTCAACTGACTGACCGGTTCATTCCTTCTCTGTGATGAGGAGTCGCCCCTGAAATCCCTCCCCGGTTTAACAATGCAACAGATACAAATATGTTTGACTGTGAACCAGTTCCGACACATAGAAAGAAAGAAAGAAAGAAAGAAAGAAAGAAAGAAAGAAAGAAAGAAAGAAAGATGGAGAGAGAGTATTCAGCTCCAATTATTAATTGATGGGAGGAATTCCTCAGCCTGAACCCTGTTCACTTTCTTGGCAATTAATACATTAATTAATCATGCGTCATTTACTTTGTGGCTGTAGTAACTGTAGTAACGACCACCCACACACACACACACCACACTATCCTCAATTAAAGAATAAACACGACTGAATGGGAACTAAAGAGCACAAACAGCAGACGATGAAATATTTACAGATGAACCGCGCGGGGTCAGCTGGCGACAGCTTGTCAATCAAAAAGGGGATTTCCGGCGGGCAGATACTCGCGCGATAAGACGGAATAATTATCCCAATAATCACCTAAAGGTGCTCCCTGAGGGGGTTGGTGGCGTGGGGGTCTCAAAGTAATCCCTCTTTTTGTGTGATTATGTGGCTTTTCATCCATATGCAATAATAATAATAATAATAATAATAATAATAATAATAATAATGTTAAATATAAATAATGATGATGCTTGTCCTTTATCAAAGCTGTTTACTCTCTGTATTTTTGCTAATGAAATTAAACACCATTTATAACCTATTCATTCAATGAGATCTTTCAGTGGGGCTGAATAATTTAAAATATGAAACAAAGCCTTACTTTAAAAATATAATATTATGTGTACAATTCACTGATCTGAAACATATATTTTGTTTCATATTGGGAGTAGCCTACACCTGCTAAGAAAAATTTACTTTAGGATAAAACAACATGTGTGTTGCCCTTAACAGACCACAAAAAACTTACATGTATAAGGACTCTGCTCACATAAATATTCTTGTCTTCCTGTGTCTTGTTTTTTGCAGTATACATGGGCAGAAGGAACAGTGTCTACCCTAGCTTTACACTAAGTAATGATATAGAGAGAGAGACAATAAATTATTTAACCCCTTAGTGAATTTGTTATATTTAAATCGCAGTCCTCTAAGGTCACAAAGGCAACATTAAGATTTCAATGTACGTTCCGAAGCCGAAAGAGCTACAAAGCTGTATTTGATGAAGTGGAAGAAGTGATATTTAAGGTATGAGTGGATTTAATGTCCAACTCAAAACTATATCAGAGTTTAATCCACTTCACTAAGACCAGTTTAATAATAATGCAGGTGTGTTTGGTTCAGCTGAGTGATTTCTTAACATATTGTCAACCGCAGGAAGAAGCCATGCGGGAATTTGCATATTATAGATTATCAGTGAGATCAGTAATGTAGGTGTGTGTATTAATGTGTGTGCATGGATGAGTGAAGATGTTGTATGCCGAAACAAAGCAAAACAAAGAAACAAAGGTGACCATGCAGGAGCGAGAAAGGGACTGTTAAAGTCAGCTCAACAGCCCAGGTGAAACCAAGGGGGCAAGTCACAGCTGGAATAGTGAAGCCGACTGAAGCCTGCATGGAAGGTTTCATGTAGGTCCAAAAATGACTATTCGGCCATCAGTGACGCTGCGCTGGTGTTTGACAGTCACAAAAACACTCTGAGCCAAGAAACTTTTTGTTTGTCATTAGACCACGTTTATGCTGCACAATCATGCGCAGTAGACCCTGGTGCCAAAAGGAAGTAGCCCTGTAGTAGTATTTTATTGGTCCAAAACTGGCTTCACTGCTCTCCATTCAAATCTGCGGGGTGGCTTCATCCAGTAATATACTATGGGTGTCTATGGGTGAAACTTCTCTCACTGACGACATCCACTCTGCCTTAGAGAGGAGGAGACAAGAGGCCAAACAAGACACACAGGAGTCGTCACAGTTGTTTTTATCTCAGGTAGTCTCAACCGGGGATTCCCTTCCTTGTGGACATTGCATACTCAACACTTTTGTTCCTCTTTGTTTGCTCTACATTGAAATGCACCACCATTTATTTTTTACTAAATGTAAACGCTCCGTATAGCACATTTCTAGTCTTTTCGACCACTCAAAGCGTTTTTACACTACATTCATCGAGCCTAAGTGCTCAAACAGAAACTAACATTCACACACACTCATACACTGGTGGAACAGCCACCAGAGGCAATTCGGGATTCAGTATCTTGCCCAAGGATACTTTGACATGTAGCCTGGAGGAGCCGGCGATTGAACCGCCGACCTTCCGATTAACAGGCAACCCGCTCTAACTCCTACACCACAGCCGCCCTACTACAGTGCAGGTACAAACAACCTGCAAACTTTTTTAAAACAGGTGCGTCTTCCCTAAAACCTTATGGAGATACATGGGTTTTCATGGTGCAAATGAAATCATTAGGAAATACCAATACTCTTCTGTCTGTAAGTTAATAAACAGCGTGTGGTGAAAGAGACTCAAGGAAGGGGAGGCGAGAGGCAAGCTGAAGATGTGCATCAGCCTGGACTGTGTTGGGCCTTGCCCCTTCTGTAACTCTGCCTCTTGGTCTGCTGTCCTGGCTGAAACTCCAACCCTGATTCACCGGCTCGCCTACCAAAAAGAGCAGCAGTGTCGGTGACGGTCAGCAGGAAACCTGAGCGAGGCCCATTGTCCTGCCGTAGCCCCGGCCCTCAAGAGGGTCCCCAGCACCCGCTCATCAAATATACAACACCCGCCTCCACTGGGACGCCGGAAGGCAGGTCGCTCCTCTGGGAAGGCGACACCGGACAGACAAAATGCAGCGAGTCCAGCTGGGGTGGGAGGGAGGAGAGAGAGAGAGAGAGGATGGAGGAAAAGTTCTAGCAAAAGAGAAGGAAGGGAGAAAGAAGAGAGAGAGGCCATATAAATATGAAGTTCAACCCTCAAGGTCACCACTTAGTTCAAGAGTCATCTGAAAAACAGTTTATTGTAAAAGGACCCTGGTTTTACTGTGCAGCTATGGAGTCATTATTTATTCTATGTTTAATATAAGTTAAATATGATTCATACCGTAACAGAAACACTTGAACCCAGTATCCCGTAAAAATCTAATCAAATTTATGCGTTTAATTTGTTTATTAATAAGAAAAGGCATGATGTTTCTGTAACTTTAAACCATACATTTACAGAAATGCATACTTGTCACTATACAAAACAAACAAAAGTAACAGCTAAGGGCCCGTGTCCACCAAAGCGTTTGCCAGCTGAAAACGCCAGCTGATGTTCTGAAAACGCCTAGCTGGGAGTGCTAGGGTGCGCTTTGGAGATGCAGCGGGGGGGGTTTCGAGACGCTGTGGTTGCTATAATATATACTATGCGTGGAGGTGATGCATTGCAAGTAGGCTACCTATATTAACTGTGTAGAAAATGTCACCACAAAGTAGGGTGGGCTTACTTTCTCTGGCCCTTGCTCTGCATGAACAGGAGCATGAAACATGAGAGCGCAGACTGTCCGTACGTGGGTTCATGAGATTTAGCGTGCAAGGAAACAACTCGGCACATCGTTTCGTTCAAGATCGGATGTGCTAGGTGTGTTTGTCCCGCCACTCCTGCACTGTGATTGGACGGCTGGGTAAAAAGTGACACTGACGAGCGCAGCATTTTTCCCAGAGTTGAACATTTTTCAACTCTCACCGCCCAGTGCGGAAAAGATGCTCAGCGCCTAGTCAGGCTGCTGGGTTGTAAAAACGCGGCACTCCCTATACAATGAATTGAAAAAAGACACTTGCGTCAAAACAAACAAAGCGCTTTGGTGGACACGGGCCCTAACTGTAGCAAATCAGACCACCCTTTCCTGCTCCATACCTTTCATACAGCACAGCGAGCCAGCATATTGGCGCAATACTCCCGGAAAATAACGCAGTGTGAAAGCAACTTGATGTTACACCACTAGCACAGGAGCTTTTGACCGCTGGGAGTAGGCTACTACTGTAGATGTAACTCACTTCATAGAGGATTGAAAGAAAAACAAAAAACTACTGACACATCACATGTGAGGTTGCACAACTCTCTAATTCTCTTCTCTGTTATCTTTTATATATATCTCTTATATTTAGCCATCAGCAGCTTTATGTATGTCTATTTGCCACTAAAGTTTGGCTGCAACATTTTCCTTGTTGTTTTGCAATGTG